CCCATTTACAGTTATTAAAACTGGCTCAAAGAAGTTAAGTTTATCTAAGATTATGTAGCTAGTACTTAGCTTCCTATAAAAGCAAAACAATTGCTACCACTTACTGAGTACTCATTATGTGCCAAGCAAATGGATACCTCATTCCATTGTTGTAACAATCCTATGGGCATAATTATTATCTTCATTTTACAAATAAGAAAACTAAGACTCAGAGAGGTTGTGGCTTGCCAAAGGTCCCACAGCTCTGAGGCAGAGCTAGGATTCAAAATCCTATCTGGGAGACTGAAGCTTGTCACATCTGAGACCTCACTAAGCCTTCTGAGCCTATGATCTTTCTACCAAACTGTACTTCCTCTTAATTTCTTTTTAACTTTGGTCCACACCTGACTTTTACTACAAATTTGACCTCCCTCTCCATCCCAACCTCTTCTCTCCCTCCCCGTTCTCTGTAAAATGACTATAGCCAATCTTAGCACTTGTTGATTTCTTAGTACCTCATGGCCATCAGTCTTCAACCTTAAGCAACTTTCTCCCACCTTTTCTTATATCCATCTACACCAAATCTGAGAGCACAATAAGGGGAGGTTCTTTCTCCTTGTACATTCCCCCAGTTTTCCAGAATCATCTCTTACTTTCTATGAAATTCTGCCATGCTCACCTGAAAGCCTCTCTTCTCCTGTAGCCACTAATTACTCTTTTGGATCACTTGGGAGTTAGGCTCCAGGAAAGGCAGAGAATGAAAACCAAACACAGTAGATTACTAAAGCATAATGAATCCAAACAAGCAAATGTGGGTAACGGCCAGCACAGCCAATTATTTCAAGGACAGGTCTGCTTCTAATGCTTCTAGAGCTGACACAAATGCTACTCACTGCAATAGTTAACCCAGTGGAGAATTGATGGCCCTGTAGCTGAGCAAGGCCTTACAAGCACTCTTTCTCCAAGCCCTAGAACACACCATCAGAATGCAGTCTTTTCTCTCTGGTCAAGACAGAGGAAAGAGTTAAGAAGGGCTCCTAAACACATATATTATAGGTTTCCAGTGTGGATATATCCTTCACCTTTATCTCAGAACCCAAGGCAGAGTGAAGGGCTCCTTGCCCCATGCTCCAACAGGAATTTATTCTCACCCCCATCAGAACATGGGTCATATGGGACTGGGACTGGTTGCTTACATGCCAGCCTCACCACGAACCTTTGGAGGGCAGGGACCATGCATGGCCTTTCATCCTTTTCTCTCCCACTGCATAGCACTATGCCTGAATAAATGAACAAATGCATGTAAGTAGATCTCTTCCCCACCCTACTCTCAAAAGGAACGTCCTAAGTCCCTTTGTAGAAACTACACAAAAGCCCTCTCCAAAGCCAGGCCTGGTTAGAAGCAGTGCTATCAAAGGAGGACAGGACATTGGCTTGTATAATTTTGCTCTCCTAAAAGCTAATGCTTCTTAGAAAATAGAAAGGAGAAGGTAGCTAAAGCTGTTTAAGAAATAAAAATGTGATACGCAAAAGAAGCCAAGGTTCAAGCTCTGTCTCCATATCTTACAATGTGGGTGACTCTGAGAAGTTGTTTCACTTCTCTGAGCCTCAGTTTTTCCTTAATGGGGAAATAAACGTGAAATGAGGGGGAAAACCTATCTCATAGGTCTATCACAATAGAATACAATAGAAAAAGAGAAAGCATCCAGTTAGTTCTATGTCTGGAAAAGAAAAGAGTCCTTGACTAAATTATATCAGCAAACAATATCATTTTTATTGTAAGTTGATTGCCATGGAACAATGCAATTTAACATGCACCTTGTGTGTGCTATTTTTAATTGCTAAGGAAAAATGTAAAGAACATCAAGTCCACTCAAATGTTGGATTGATACAAGGGATGGAGATGGGAGACATGAGAGTGGCACAGTAAGTAAGAAGTTGCTACGGCTAATGTCAAAGAGGTTTCTGCCTGTGTTTTCCTCTAGGATTTTGATGGTTATGGCAGCATTATAAACAGTAGCCAAATTATGGAAAGAGCCCAAATGTCCATTGACTGATGAATGGATAACGAAGTCATGGTATATATATACAATGGAATATTACTCAGCTATCAAAAAAATGAAATCCTGCCATTTCAATGATGTGGATGGAGCTAGAGTGTATTATGCTAACCGAAATAAGTCAGTCAGTCAAAGACAAATACCATATGATTTCACTCATTATGTGGAATTTAAGAAACAAAACAGATGAACATATGGGGAAACAGAGAGGCAAACCATAAAACAGATTCTTAACTATAGAGGACAAATTGAGGGTTGCTGCAGGGCAGGTAGTGGAGGGATGGGCTAAATGGGTGATGGATATTACGGAGGGCACTTGTGTTGAGCACTGAGTGTTATATTTAAGTGATGAATCACTAAATGCTACTCCTAAAATGAATGTTACACTGTATGTTAACTAACTGGAATTTAAATAAAAACTTGAAAAAAAAAAACAGCAAAGAGGCAGAAGTTTGGCTGATTTTCCACCAAGGCCAGAACCACTACCTCAGTTCTGTTTTCTGTGGCTAAGGCTGGAGGCATGGGGCTTTGAAAAATGCTGCATCACACCAGCCTCTTGCTGACTGTTTTAAGATAGAAAGCAAAAGCAGGCAATGATGTGGCCCAAACTTAGATAGGCTGGCTGATACTGGACAGTAAGATCAGTACTTACATTGACTGAAACTGTTAGTTGCTGCCAGAAGTCTGGAGCAGGACTGTGGAGGAAGGGGAAGGGGGAATGCCTCTGGAATTTAACTTTGCAGTAGATGATGGTTAGGGAGGGCTAAGTTACTGTGTATGCTAAACTTATAGGATCTGGCTGACCTCAAGACTTGGTAGCAGGCAAGACAAACTTCACTGTGATGAATATAACTTGAGTTACCCAACTCTCTAACAGATTGATGTGAAGGTCAACACATGACTTATAAATTGAAGCTGTGTCTACATAGAAGTCTGGTCTTAATTGGCTATTCCCTTGAATAGGCAAATCTTAGGAAGGGGAAGGGCAGAGAAAGGGAATTAATAACATATTTTGAATATTGATTACATGGCAGATATTTTGTTATTTTTTTAACCTTAGCAATAATTCTGTGGGATGAGCTGTTTCTCCTATTCATAGATATAGAAACCAAGGTGTGCAGATCTTAAATAACTTAACTATTAATCATACAGACAGATGCATCACTGGGTCAAGCCAAAGAATTCACAGAGTCAGTTACTTAGTGGAAATCTTATCAGACTCCCATAGAATAGCTTTCACTGAATTGTGCTCTGAGACAATGCAATCAGCCGATATTGAGGTTTTTATACGCAACAGTCCTTAAGAGAAAATGTTGCTTAGAAATATTCTCTGGCTTCAAAAATGGATGAGTTGTGCTTTTTTGAACAGCTTGATTGTTGTTACCTTAAGAGCATGGATTTACATGACTATTAAGTTCTTTCTCTTTTCATTTTCTGTAGAAAGTTTGGAGCCAAATCTGTGACACCGTTCCAGCAAGCGTGTAAGGCTTCATAGCAAACATTTTGTGTACTAACTCCATTCTTTCCATATCCCTACTATCCTACCTTTTTTCCCTCTCTTGGCTTCATTTTTTTCTCACCTGTACTCTCTAGAATCTAAGGCAGAAGTCAGCAAGCATTTTCTGTAAAGTATCAGATAGCTAATATTTTAGGACTTGTAGGCCATAAGATCTCTGTTGCTACTACTTAATTCTGCTGTTTTAGTGTGAAAGTAGCTTTAGACAATGTGTAAATGAGGTGGTGTGTTTCTGTTGATGGGTACAGAAATTTTAATTTCATATAATTCTCATGAGTCATGACATATTATTTTTCTTTTGATATTTTTCAGTTAAGGCCATAGTTCGCTAAGCCTTGATATAAGCCTCAAGAGAGTAGGGACCTTGTATGTCTTATTCATTCTTATGTCCTTAATGCCTAGAATGGGGCCAGGCACACAACAAGTATTCAATAAATACTTGTTGAATAAATTATTCTTACTATTTTTAAGTTCCTGTATTTTCTATATTGTGAAAGCCTTAATTCCTTTCTGGAACAGGACAGGATAAAAAACAAGGCACATTTTTAGAAGGGCATCTAGCTAGAAAGTAAAAGAGCCACAATTTGGGTCTGAGCCTTTCTGATATCAAAGTCCATATTCTGTCCATTATATCATATTATCTTCATAGAATTATGTACCGCCCTCCAGATACCCTCTGGATTAGCCCCAACCTCCAAACATGAGTCTCCAATTAAATATACCAAAGTCAGCCACATCTTGAATTTGTAATTTAAAAAGTCCAGAGTTTTGCAGAAGTTGTGTCCCTTTGTCCCTATCTTGACTAATCTGAAAAGTGAGAATGAGAAACCATCAGTTCACCAATTTCAAAGCTTCTTATACAAAGGAAAAGTGATAGTTCTGCCTTACTGGAAATAACACAGGCTTTGTTACCTGCCAGACTTGATAAGATTGAGACCCCAGCTCTGCTAGTTAGTAACTGTGAACCTTTGGCAAGTCACTTAGCTCTAGGATCCCCAGTTTTCTAGTAGAAAAAACAAAACAAAACAGTAATACATTCTTCACAGTAAGGTTGTGAGGATCGAAAATAATTTGTCAGTACCTAGTACAGTGCCAGGGACACAGCAGATACTTAATGGCAACAGCAGCAATAATAATATTGATAAAAACATCATTATTATTAATTTATTCTACAATGACTGCTTACCTTGGGACAGTCAAGCATTGTTCTAAGCACTTGGGATATAGAGGTAAATAAAACAGGCCCCAAATCCCCGCCCTCATTAAAATGGTTTACACTCTAGTGATTATTGTGAATGGCTTTTATGTTCTTACCCACCATTCCAATATTAGTGGTAGTAAATTGGGAACAGATCCCTACTTAAATATCTCCAACCTCAGAAAGATCTTAGGGTGCAAAATAGTTGGTTTCAATTCTGATTCCAATTGGATTCCCAAGCACTTACCCTCCTTGTGGTGAGCCAGGGGTCGAGGAGCTGGTCTCTTTATGTGGAAAGAGGGGGCTTTGGTGGGCCCAGAGCCTGGCACAGGTCCATTGGTGGCCTTTGGTATGGCCTTGGTCCCTCCATCCTGCAGCCTAGACACCAGCTTCCCCACATCCACTTCAGGACAGGACTCCAACTTGCCATCTGAAACAGGCCTGCTACTTGGAGACTTCCTCCCAGTGTCAGCTTCTCCACTCCTCTGAATAGGCAGTTTGGGGTATTGTGGCAGCTTGGGGGGTTCCATACTGCTGGCGATAATACCATTGGGTGTTTGATGTTGGATTTCATCTAGGAAAAGGTGGTGCAAAGAGGGAAGATTAAAGCTAACTTCATTACCATTTCATTTTTATACATGTACACATAATATTGAAAAATTTTACACATTTTCAATGGAGCTATTATTGTGGAACTAATCACTGATATCTCGCAAAATCAGTCTCTATCTAGCCCAATTCATGTGGAGTCACAGATCCCATAAAATAGGGAATTCAGTTCAGGATGGGAGTTTGATTTTCACCACCACAATTTAGTAAAACCATAATATACCAAGATGCTTTATTCAAAGGGATATTTAATTTAAAAGGGACTTAAGAGTCCCCAATTATAATTCTGCTCTTTTTAAAGAGACATCAGTTAATCCTTAACTATTTCTATTTCTCTCAAAAGTAATTTGTTAAAATCTCTCAAATTTTAAGTTAATAAACTTAACAGAATTTAACTTCATTCTCCATCCTCATAAAGAAACTTCCAACTAGCCATGTTCTTCCCTTAGCTTTTGTGGTCCACAATTTTCTGTGACAATAGGACCTACTTTTCAGTTGTTCTGAGTTTTACTTAAAGCTTTGAGACTCTTAGAGGAGAGCCAAGGATACTCTCCCTAGACAAATTAACCCACACAAATACATGAAAAATTTTAAAAACGAAATTTAAGAGATTCATAGAGTCCCTTAAAGTTGTTAATCCTTGATTGAGAACTCCTGCTGTAAGGAAACTGTCACCTTTCTTCATAATAGAAAACCTAGATCAGAGTGTAGTGATTAAGAAAAGAGGTTCTGTTTGGCCAAATGAGACTTGAGAAACATGTTGAGCAGTTGTAATACATATATCTTGTTGGATCCTGATTTTTAAAAAAATGACGGAGAATTTAAATATTGTCTAGATAGTGATCTTAAGGAATTACTGTTTGTTTTGTTTTCTTTCAGGTATGATTATGGTATTGTAATTTGGCTTTAAAGTCCTTATCTTTTAGAGATGTATACTGAAACATTTATGGATGAAATGACATACATGTGTCTTGGTTGGGGATGTGGGTAGGGGTACTGATGAAACAAGAACGGACATAACGGGTGGTAAATGTTGAAGCTGGGTGATAGGCACATGGGGAGTACATTATACTGTTTTGTTTTGTTTTTTTAACTTTGGTTTATGTCTGAAACTCTCCATAGTAAAATGTTAAAAGAAATGCAGGTTTTGGAGTCAGATAGCCAGGTCTGAATCTCAGTTCTGCTTCTTATCAACTGTAGGACCTTGAGCAAATTCATCATCTCTCTATACGTCAAGTTTTCTCCTCAATAAAATGGGAATAATAATAGTACCTACTTCATGAGGTTGTAGTGAGGGTTACATGAGATGGTATACTTATTTCAGTGCCTGGGACATAATAAACACTCTGTAATTGTTAGTTATTACTTATGCTATTATGCTCTAAGAGGGCAGTGAGGCAAGAGTTTTTATGTGGGAAGGAAGGGCTAAGTTTTGCTGTGAAGACTTTTTTCCCCAGAGAACTTTCTTCTCCTTGAGAACCTGTCACCAATCAGTGCTGCCACCATTATAGGGATCAGGGCCAAAAGGATTCCCTCTATAGTTTCCCTACTCTGTAGCAAGGTAGGTATATAGCCCTGCTTTTATTAACCCTCCCACAACTGCCGTAAGACTAGAACATTCAAACAAAAATTTACCAAAGGCTCACAAATAATAGTAGGGGCATAAGCACAAAGGAACCACGTAACTAGATCACATGCTTCCAGGACATGCTTATGGCAGAGGCCACCTGTAAACCTCTTGCATTTAGGAGTAACCTGAAGCACATTTACCCTCTCAGAACAATGAAATGAACAGTGACATGAATTTCTTCTCGCACATGCTTTCGGCCCAACATCTCAGTTATATGTTTCTATTTGAATACTTTCTTCCAGTAGAAAGACCCTAGGAGGGCGCCTGGGTGGCTCAGTTGGTTAAGCGACTGCTTTCGGCTCAGGTCATGATCCTGGAGTCCCTGGATCGAGTCCCGCATCGGGTTCCCTGCTCGGCAGGGAGCCTGCTTCTCCCTCTGACCCTCCCCCCTCTCATGTGCTCTCTCTTTCTCATTCTCTCTGTCTCAAATAAATAAATAAAATCTTAAAAAAAAAAAAAGACCCTAGGAAATTTTATCCCTGCTCTACTTTAGAAGACACCACAGGGGTTGGCTGTGCCTTCAGGCCATAACAGCATTGTTACCATCTCAATACATTTAGGGAGGTCCAATCTCATAAAGATGATACACATACACAGTCTCAAAGAGGTCACTACCTTCCACATGGGGAAGAACCATTTCCTGATGCAAGGAAATAGGGGATGGAATGATAGCAGCAATGGGGACTCTGAACTAGACCCTATGCCAAGAGAAACTATTTCTAGGTTCTGGAATATGCTGAATTATTATTGACAAAATGAGAAAATGGTAATGATAATAATGACAAGGATGATAATGGTAACAGATACCATTATTTGAGCGCTTTATCTGTGCCAGGCCCTGTTCTTCTAAGTGCTTCACAAGGATTATCTCATCATTATCTTCAAAACTGCTCTATAAATTAGTGAACTCTTATTAGTCCCATTTTAAAGATAAGGAATCTAAGGCACTGAAACAAGCTCAGTGTCACAAAACTAATGTGGTAGAGCCAGTTTTCAAAGTCTGAAGTCTGTTTCCAGAGTCCACGCTTTCTGAAGAGAGAGTTTATCCCTCTGGTCAGGTAACAAGAGCTTAGTTATCATTCTCTTTCTTTAATCAGCCATCCATTTCCACAGGAAAACACATAGACCAGCTTCAGAAACTGCAGAAAACTGGGAATCAATCAGGATTGACAGGAAGGCCTCACAAATAGGCAAGTAGCCCACTGTGGGCCTCTCTTCTATGTGTGGGTAAGTGGTGGGGAGAAGCTTTGAGATGTAACATACTAGTGCAGCAGGAGAAAAATATCAATTATTATGATACAAGTAGAATCATACAAATAAATGTTATGAGGAGGACAGTGCTAATTCTGTCTGGAGGGGCTGAAGAAGATCTTGTAAAAGAGGTAAGATTTGAGCTGGGCCTTGAAGGATTACAAAAGATTATAAAAAGTGGGAGGGGGGAGGAGCAAGACAGCAGAGGAGTAGGAGACCTAAATTTGGTCTGGTCCCAGGAATTCAGCTAGCTAGTGATCAAACCATTCTGAACACCTACAAACTCAACAAGAGATCGAAGAAAAGAATAGCAGCAACTCCATGAACAGAAAAGCGACCACTTTCTGGAAGGTAGGACATGCGGAGAAGTGAATCCGAGGCGGTATTCGGGAGGATAGACGGCGGGGAGGGGGCCTCCGTCAGCAGCTACCGGCAAGTGATAGAGCAGCAGAGCACAAAATTGGAAATTTTAGAAGTCGGTTCTGCTAAAGGATGTCGCTCCAGTGGCTAAACGGGAGGTGGAACCCTCTCTGGGACAGTGTGGTCTCAGGACCCTCGGGGTCTCAGAAAGACCAGGGGTGCCTGAGTGCGGCAGAGCTCCCAGGTATCGGAGCGGGGAAGCCGGCTGCAGAGACGGAACCAAGGCAGGGGTCTCAGCTTGCGGTTGCCATAAACCATGATCCGCGGCACAGTTGGGCCACTGCTCCTCCAGCAGGGACCCAACAAGCGGTAGATCCGAGGAGACTCCCCTTCCTCCCCCTGGGGAGGAGCGGCGCGGGAGTGCACCTCAGGGATCTGCTGGGTTTGAAGACTCCACACGGGGTCGGGTGCCAGAGATAGAAATGCTCGGTCACAGGCCGGGTGAGCAGGGAGTGCGGCCGCAGACTGGGGAGGTAGGAGTGACTGACTGCTTTTCTCTGGGGGCGCAGTGAGGATTGGGGCCCCGAGCTCTCGTCTCCTCTGGGGAGGAGACTGGGAGGCTGCCATTTTCACTCTCATCCTCCAAAGCTGTACGGAAACATTGCAGGGAACAAAAACTCCCGAGAGCAAACCCCAGCAGATTACTTAGCCTGGCCCCCAACAAGGGCAGGGCAATTCCGCCTCTGGCAAAGACATTTGAGAACCACTGCAACAGGCTCCACCCCCAGAAGATCAGGAAGAACAGTCAGACAAGACCAAGTTTACCGATCAATGAGAACGGCAGGACTCCAGCACTAGGGGAATACTACACATAGAATCCATGGCTTTTTTCCCATGATTCTTTAGTCTTTCAGAGTTAATTTTTTAAATTTTCTTTTTCTTTTTTTTTTGATTTTTTCTTTTTCCCTTTTTCAATCAACATCTTATCAATCCCCCTTTTTTTCTAATATTTAATTTTATTATATTATGTTAGTCATCATACATCATTAGTTTTTGATGTAGTGATCCACGATCCATTGTTTTCGTATAACACCCAGTGCTCCATGCAGTACGTGCCCTCCTTAATACCCATCACCAGGCTAACCAATCCCCCCTTCCCCCTCCCCTCTAGAACCCTGTTTGTTCCTCAGGTCCATAGTCTCTCATGGTTCATCTCTCCCTCCAATTGCCCCCCCCCATTTTTCCCTTCCTTCTCCTAATGTCCTCCATGTTATTCCTTATGTTCCACAAATAAGAGAAACCATATGATAATTGACTTTCTCTGCTTGACTTATTTCACTTAGCATAATCTCCTCCAGTCCCATCCATGTTGATGTAAAAGTTGGGTATTCATCTTTTCTGATGGCTGAGTCATATTCCATTGTATATATGGACCACACCTTCTTTATCCATTCATCTGTTGAAGGGCATCTCGGCTCTTTCCACAGTTTGGCTATTGCGGACATTGCTGCTATGAACACTGAGGTGCATATGGCCCTTCTTTTCACTAAATCTGTGTCTTTGGGGTAAATACCCAGGAGAACAATTGCTGGGTCATAGGGTAGCTCTATTTTTAAATTTTTGAGCAACCTCCACACTGTTTTCCAAAGTGGCTGTACCAACTTGCATTCCCAACAACAGTGTAAGAGGGTTCCCTTTCTCCACAACCTCTCCAACATTTGTTG